AACCCTGAACCCTGAACCCTGAACCCTAAAACCCGAACCCTAAAACCCGAACCCTGAACCCTGAACCCTGAAACCCTGAACCCTGAACCCTGAACCCTGAACCCTAAACCCTTACCCCAGAAATTGTATTGGCACGCGTTTCACCGCAAAACTTCTAGCCACCAGAACTTGAAATACATATTTATTTTCGGATGGAAAGAAAACTAATAGTACTAACTCTTGCTGAAAGAAAATTGAGTTGACACGCGTTTCACCGGGAAAACTTCTGGCCAACAAAACTTGAAATACATATTTATTTCGGCTGGGATGAAAATTAATAGTACTAACTCTTGTTGAATGAACATTGGAAACTTCTGGCCAATACAATTTTAAATATATTTTTATTTTTGACACGACAAGAAAATAATAATATTTTAAACTTTTTTTGTGCTCACTTAAACCGAGATGGTTCTAATTTATCTAATTTCATGATGATAACAGATTACTAACTCTTGCCTTGACATTTTTCCTCTTGTTATGAGGGAGTACTAGATCTCTTGAATAATTGATATATCTTTTGAATAATAGAACTTTTAAATAAAATAATATGATAATAAAATTAGCACGCATTTTTTCGAGAAACTTCTGACCAATACATATTTGTCTAATTGTCATAATTTTTATTATTTAATTTTTGTTATTGTTTAACTTATTTTTTTATATTTTATTTAATTATTTTTTCATACTTTTTTAATGTATGTTATTTATTTGGTTTGAATATATTTACCTGATTTATAGTTTTAATATATATTGTTTTATTTTCAATTATATTATCTTTATTATTTAATATATTTTAATTTTATATTAATTTTATGTATAATGTAAATTTAATTTATCATACAATATTATTTAAATTTATCTAATTTATGATATTGTATAAGTGCTTATAGTAGGGCCTGGGATGAAGGGTTGAGAGGTGTAAAGACCGTGTTTATTAGACTCGTGTAGTAGGGTGTTTGAGGGCCTGGGATGGTGGGATAGTAAAACTTGGAGATGGGTTGTAGGACAAGTTGATATGAGGGTTGGTCGTTTGGGCTAGACTGCTTTGGAGTTGTAGTGTTTGGTGCGCTAGTATAGTTAGGTTGGGCCAGGTATATATTTAACTCAAAGATGGGCCCAAATTTGGAAGGTTGGATTGATGGCATGGACCAAAAACTACCTACAACTATGCAATTAATCGAGATCACCATACCACGGGATAATAAATTTACTTATTTAATTTTAAAGCCATGTACCATATAATTATAATTTCAATTATGTTATTATTAGATTTAATTTTTCTTATTTTATTTTGATTAATGTTTTCATACTATTTTATCATACAATGTTATTATAAATTATCTTAAGTTATTTTATTAGATTTACTTGACTTACCTAATTTATTTTATTTCTTATGTAACTTGATTTAAAAAAAAATTATTTTATTATTTATTAATTTTTTTTCTCATTTATTTTATCATACTTGTTTTTTATTTGTTTACATAGTTGTTTTGTTTATATATATGTAATTGATTTAACATTTTTATTTTATTTTATAGTATTTTGTATATGTTACATATTGGTGTGTTCAAACATTATAAATAAGTGCTTGTATAGCTTTGGTGGTTAAATTCTACATTTTGATTTTTGCAATAGAACTCAAATAATATAAAAATAAGGGCATTAGAATACAGCACAACGTAAATGTCAAAAGCACAGACTTCAAGAAACTCACATTTACCTTTTTTACTTCGGAGATCGCTATGGAACCACAGGGATGGGCCCTACCTTGCAAGGATGAACTTGTCGTCCCAGGATGAACTTGGGGCAGCCTTGTCTGTATAAGATGCGAAAGCCAATAACAAAAAATATTAATTCCCTGCATCGAGCAATTAAAATCCCAATTCCAACATAAAACAACATGGATTTCAACATCAACAGAAACAAACTGAGATCCACTCGTCAAGTAAAAAACCTACGATCGGTACTTACAACTCACAACTCACAGATTAATTCATGAGGCGGACGGTTCGGACTTTGGAGGAAGACGAGGGAGTGTCCGGGAGCCACGCGATGAGGAGGATGAGTGTCTTGAGTCGTAAAACACATGGCCCCTGCAACATGTGGCCCCCGCAACACAGTTACAAACACAAAAAATGATGAAAATAAAAATTAAAATTAAAAGACACAGTGAACAGAAAAGGAGGGGAAAAAAATTGTATTCGTGATACACCACAAAGCAAGTGATACACACATGGCTATGAGTTTTAAGTTAATGATATCCACTCATTGGGTCTGTTGAACAACAAAACCATAGGTTTCTTGGAAGTATTCAACCACAGATTTTATTGTGCCTCTCTCGTCAACCGGGAATTTAAAAACAACCAAAGCTCAAATTTCAGAACACCAATTAATTCAAAGGCATTATTATCTCCATGATATTATTCAAAGTCACTGGATTGAGCAATATTGCCATGAGAAGTACTGAGTTGGACAATGATGAATAAATATAAACAGCATGTCCACTAAATGTGCCAAACATTACACTCAGATATATTTTGCCTCATAAAGCCATGATAAGATGATAACAAAGTAACAAACAGTAACTGATCCCTTACATTAGCTCTCGTGTTGCTTGTGAAGTTGAACCAGAGATTCTGTATTTCCTTCGCATGTTCCCTCGATGAGTTACCTCGACCTTTACTCCTCTTAAGTGCTTTTTTGATCTGCAAAATTTGAATAGTAACACTAAAAGCTCAATATAGCTAAAGAAATCCAACCACCGACACATATATATTAGATACATTTAAATTAAAATAAACAATTATGTTCCCGAAATTAACCCGAATATACAAACCTGGGCCCACCTTCTCCATCATCTTCATCGAGAAGGGTTATTCTGAACTCCTTAGATACAAACGGCAGAAGGAGAAAAACAAAATAAGGCAAAATTGCATTTTTGGTCCTGTTGCTTTGGCCTCGTGGCAATTTTCGTCCTGAGATCGGAGCATTTTCTTATTTAGTCCTGTAATTTCAAAAGTCAACGCAATTTCAGTCCTTCTGGCGCCCAAAAGTCAAAATTATTGTCGAATTTGTAACGTGGCCCGCACGTGACGCCCTCATGTCCGATTTCCTCTGACTTGGCATGCAAAAACACGGACGTGGCAACAAAATCAATTAAAAAATGCAAAAAAAAAACATAAAACAAAAAACGAAAAATGTTTACTTATCCCCAATTTATCGATCCTAGAACCCTAACTTCCCAAATCCAAACCAAGAAACCTAATCCCCCAATTTGTGAAATTCGTACATAAATTTATCGAGGCTGGAGATGGGGCCCGCGAGGCGGCAGTAGGAGACACCGACCAAGATGACGGGGATGAAGAGGCCGGACGGGATGGCGATGCCGTAGGTGATGATGCCGAGGGAGAAGACTGCGATGAAGAAGGTGAAGTTGGTCGAGATTTGGAACTCGTTTCGGTTATTGGAGCTGAGGAGGTTGAGGATGGCGTTGTCGGTGGTGTTGAGGAGCAGGAAGGCGAGGTCGTTGTTGTGGGAAAAATTGATGTGTTTTCAGATTTTTTCTTTTTTTTTTTTTTGGTTTTGTTCTGGTAACGATGTATATTCAGAAGGTGGGGAGGTGACAATTTTTTTTTCTTGTTCTGAAAACAAAATCGATGGGGAAAAAATATTCAGAATTGGTTATAAATTCGTGATACTCCTTTTAATTCATCTTTCTTCCTAGTTTACCATATTGTTTTTATTATAGAAATTTATTTAGTATTAATTATTTTAGGATTTATAAAGTATATGAAATGCATTTCTTGATCTGTGCGGGTTTTATATCTTTTTTTTATTTTTAAATTATAAAATTGCAAAGTGGATTTTGTAATTTTTATTTTTGGCATTTTTTAATTGATTTTGTTGCCTCGTTTGCGTTTTTGCATGCCAAGTCAGAGGAAATCGGACATGAGGGCGTCACGTGCGGGCCACGTCACAAATCCGGCAACAATTTTGACTTTTGGGCGCCAGAAGGACTGAAATTGCGTTGACTTTTGAAATTACAGGACTAAATAAGAAAATGCTCCAATCTCAGGACGAAAATTGCCACGAGGCCAAAGCAACAGGACCAAAAATGCAATTTTGCCACAAAATAATTAACAGTTAGATTAACATCGAGATCAATTCACCACCACAAACTAATGGAAAATATATCAAGCTCAGAATTAGAATTCTCTAAGTAACACACTCCATGATTATCTGCAAAGCAGTCTGCAGAGCTTAGATAAATAAATGATTCCAGTAAAGTACACCTTTTGCATTAGGTACAACTATGTAGACCAAACCTAACTAATCAATTTGTAAACAGCACCACATAACACAAATTTAATCTTTTTCATAGTTGCGAAGGAAAAGGAAAATAAAACATTCGCTCACTGGAATGTAGAATAAAAAACATGGACACACTCCTCGCTAAATAATAAAGAGAAATGCTACATGCATGTTCACCTATGACAATTAAAGCAAGCAGAACAACAACACGGCAGTTAAAACTAGCAGAGGTCCTGTTGAAAATAGTTTTTATATAAAGAGTCGGATTATGATGCACAAGCAATACAAGTCGAATGAAGAGTATCAAATCCTTTACCTTGAGATAAAGAGTTCCCAAGTATCCAGGCAATTAAATTTCCTGGTTTTGTAAGGAATCTAGGATGGCTGGTACTGAAGTCTGCTCCACAGGAGAAAACAGCTTCTGCAGCATGAAGCTAAAAAAGACATTTAGATCAGCTGAACTTATGTAAGTCAGAGAAATATGGAGTCAGACCATATTAAATAATACATAGGTAAAGAACTTAATGAGTAAATTGAACTTCTCAATAACACGGCATCTGCGACCTGCAAAAGGAAATTCAAATATTCCAGTAGAAGATTGAGTATCTCATCATTA